ACCCATACACAAACGTTCGCGGAAGAAGAAGTCTCTCCTTTCACTGAAAGGCTTTCTACAGAAATCAGCGCAGTCATCTAACTTGTGCTTTGCACCACAAAACAGACACTTCGTCAAACTATTTGGACCAGGGTCCTTTGATTTACTAGAATTAGTGGGGTCTGATTTACTGTTACCACCACCCTTAGCTGATGTAGAGAGAGAACTACCCTTCTCATTATCTGGTTTCAGCTTCGGATTTCTGTTAAATCTTGGACTACTTGATGTGGCGAGGCCCTCTAACTCTGGAATGTTTGCCTTTTCTGCTGCTTCTCTGATGAAGTCTGCAAACTTAACAAAGGTAGGGTAACTGGCTTCACCATGGGTATGTCTCCATTGTTTAATTGCATCTCTCCACTTGGTTTCAAGGTAGTAGGGTAACTTTGATAATAACTTTACGTTCTCCTTTGCATAGTCCAGTACAGAAAGACCTGGAATGGTGTTCTTTGCTGCTAATACCTTGTCTAACATGTCTGAGAACTCCCTTAAGGCACTGGCATCCTTGGGTCCTATCTTAGGCCACTTCTCCAACTTGTTAATAAATGCTGTACTCACAACATTACAGTTTCCATACCTTTCCTGTAATACAGACCTAGCTTTCTGATAAGCATCTTCTGTCCCAATCAGATAATGTTCCACAACTTACTTTGGCTTTCCAGTTACATACTGATTCAAGATATTCAGCTTGATGTCTGCTGCCAGTGGTCTAGAGTCAACTAGAGCATTAAAGGCACTCTTCCACACAGGATATTGCAGGGGGTCTCCTTCAAATACTGGAATGGTCAGTTTTGGAAGTTGTCCAGAAACAAACAGTACTTTGTTCTAAGTTGGCTTCTGTTAACTTGTCCATACACCTTTCTAATGATGAAGCAACCTTTTCCCACCTTTCACAGAAGGAGTTAACTTGACCTTGAGGATGAACAAACTGGTAACTTGAAGGGGAATTCATAACTGTTGACATAATTGGTGATGGACCACTTATGGAGTTAGTTACAACAGGATCAGTTTTTGCCGACAAGAAAGCTTGTGTACAAGCTGCTTCTGTTTGAATGGGAAGACCAAGTTCAGGTTCAAAATGACGAACAGCAAATACTGACTGTGTTACGGCTCCCGGGGAGAATGATGGAGCAGAAGCCCGCAAACCACATGTTGTAGTCTTTGGTGTGGATGTTGTTGACAAAACAGGTGTTTGGGATACATGTACTTGGGACTGAACTGATGTATTAGTCTCATTTGCACGGGTAGTTACTGTTAAAGATTGCAAGAATCTTTTTACTCCTTCGCCTTTACTCTCACTAGGAAGATTGACTAGATCTTCTTCAAGGGAGGGTGTTTGCTCATTATCAATCTCTTTGCATACACTTAACTTGACTCTACTAAGTTCAAGTTCCCTCTTAAGTTTGAATTCTTGCAGTTTCTGCTCCTGTTTTAACCTTTCTATTTCTAGGGCCTTTTCTTGTTCCACATAGGCTAGCTTCACCTTCAAAGCAGCTTCTTCCTGTAGAAGCTTATATTTATCTACTTTAGTTGAAAGTACACTGTCTGAACTTGATTTTGACTTGACACTTTTGGCTGTTTTACTCCTCTTTGAACCCTTAGAAATGACAGAATTAGACTCCAAAACTGTTTGTTCCAAATACTTTATCTCATCCCTCACATCCCTTTCAAAATCAGACCACTCACCACAAACTTGCTCCCAGATGTTCCTGACCTTTGCTAACTTCATTATATATATGTTGGACAAGCAATACTTGATCTGTCAAAAACATTAATGTTTGATTTTCATTATAACTATATTAAAAAGAAATATAGAAACAAAGCTGAGTTATTGTTTACAGATACTGATAGCTTGATGTTTCAGATTTACACAGATGATTTTTACAAAGATATATCCTGTGATATATCAAGAAAGTTTGACACTTCAGATTACCCTCCTGATCATCCATCTGGAATACCAACAGGAAATAACAAAAAAGTAATAGGGATGTTTAAAGATGAAGTAGCAGGAAAACAAATAACTTGTTTCGTTGGATTGCGACCCAAACTTTACAGTTTTAGAATTGAAGAAGATAAAGAAGTACGTAAATGTAAAGGAATAAAGAAAAATGTTGTAAAAAAGAAATTAGATTTTGATGACTATGTCCAATGTTTATTTTTGGGTAAAAAACAAATGAGATCAATGAAAATAATAAGAAGTGAAAATCATGATATATATTCAAAAGAAGTTAACAAAGTAGCTCTAAGTAATGAAGATGATAAGCGTGAAGTACTCTTGGGAAAAGTAAAAACGATAGCTTTAAGGTAATAAAGTATAAATAATAAATGTCATATACAGAAGATCAAATAAAAAAATATCTAGAAATATTGCATAATTATACTAAACAACCTGTAGAGGATATGGATGTGATTAAAAATGCTAAATGTTTTAATTGTCAAAATAGTGAATGTTTTACTATTGATTCTGGTTATAAAATTTGTGATTACTGTGGAGCAGCAAATGGTCATGTTTTGGATTTTTACGATGTTAAAGATTACGATAGATTATATTTTCGAAAAAAGAGTATTTATCAGAGAAAATATCACTATGAGAAACAGGTTGATCAAGTTTCTAAAAGAATAAACCTAACTGTTGAACAAAAATATGAACTTTACAATAAACGAATGAAAATAGACAATTATGTTATGGAAATACTAAACAAAAAATACTGTAGAAAGAGAATGATAAGTATTTTTTATTTAATCAAAAAACTTTTGGAAGAGGTGGGTTGTGAAAAGTATAAACTAGTTTATCTAAAGATATCACCACAAACTTAAGAGAATTATGAAAAGTGGTGGGATAGTTATAAATCACTCCACAATTCCTCTATGAAAGCACCAGTAAATAATTCCAGTTAAATAACTAAGTACTTCACATTCTTTGAAAGGAGTAGTGAAAGTATAAACACATCCTCTTCCAATTCTATAATGTTTCCAAAAAGTTTTGAAACCGAGATTGAATATCAAATGATTGGTAATAATATTTGAATTTGAATTGAGGTAGTGTCTCGCTTCTGTTAGTCTATAAATAATTTGGTCTATGTATGGTTTGTGTAAAATACTTTGCACAGAGAAATTGGTAAACAAGACAAGCTTTAATGAAGTTATCTGAATAAAATTGTGTTTTATAAGTTGGAAAGTAGAAATTCACATATGCTACAATTGATTTAATCATCTTTATATTTTATGTTTAGATAGAAAAAATGATTTAAAGATTTAATATAAATAATATAATAAAAATGGTGAGTCTTACTATTTCCGAAGAAGTTCTAAAAAGAGAAGGGGAAGAACTAATTGATCAATTAAAAAATAGTCTTGATGAATATGAAGATTTATTTAGAATGAGAATTTTTTGAAACAATTAAAAGAATGAAAGAGGATCTAAATATAGCAGAGTCTGTTGCAATGTACGAACAATTAAAAAGAGAAGGAAAACCACTTGGTGAAAATTTTCATTGGTATCATTACTATAAAGAATATAAAAAAGATAAAACAGAAGATAAAAAGACTAGACTTGTAGATACAGCTCCTTCTGGGTTTTTTAGACCTGATTTTGAAAGTATTTTTAGAATATTAGATTTAGTAGATATAGAAATGGAGATTTTTGAAGATTTATATTTTGATGTTAGTCTTGTTTTAAAAAAATATGAAATTTATCAAATTTTAAAGAAGTAGTGTTGTAAATATTATCATTTTTCTATTTATTTTTAAATAGAAAATTAATTAAGGTTTAAAGAATAAAAAGTATAAATAAAGATGGAAAATATTTTAGAGAAATCTTTTGTTAATAAACAACTTGGAATAAAGTTAAACTCATACATTGATGAACAATGTAATGTTTGGTTTCAAGCAGAACAAGTTGCTCAAATACTTGGTTACAAAAATACAGTTGATGTTATTAAGAGACATGTAAGTGAGAGTAATAAAATAAAAAAAGTTCACCCGCGTGAAACACACGGTTGTACTTTTACCTTTTACATTAATGAAGCAGATTTCTACGAACTTGTTTTTAGATCTAGATTACCTGCTGCAAAAATGTTTCGCCAGTGGGTGTTTTCCAAAGTTCTTCCTTCAATTCGTAAATATGGATATTTCAAAATGTTTAAATCCAAATTAAAACAAAGAGTAATAATTGAAGGAGTAAAATACTACAGACATTCAGTTTTTAGTAAATACGCTGCAAGCAAAAATGGAGAAGTAATAAATGTAAAAACTGGAAGAATTATTAAAATGATAAATTGTAACGGTTATTTATATTTTAACATTTGTGATAAAAAACTTGAAAAACCAAAGAATTACTACCAACATCGAATCTAAAATTTCCTGAAGGCAAAATTGGACCCTCACAAGAAGCAGACTCGTCTATACTAAGCTGAACATTTAATTGCGAGAAAAGATGATGTTGACAAGCCATGTCAACATCCTCAGGAGAGAAAAGTTTAGAATAAAAGTCCACGTGCACCTTTTCAAGGTCAGCACGGGATGTCACCTCAATACCGGAAGAATTATGCATAGAAATGACACGATTTTTCTGAAAACGTTCCTGTTCTAATCGGAAAAAATAACGAGTAGGTTTTTCACCTTCTTCGATCCAGCGAACTCTGCTTCTTGTCTTAACGCCTTCAATTTCTAAATTGAAGAGAGAAAACAAACGAGCTTCTAACGTAATAATTTCACGGCTGACCGACCGATCACCCCGAATTAAGGCTTGTTTGCATTTAATTAATCTGTTGGTCAAAACAACCTTCTCGCAATTTAAATTAGCGCGCTTTTGCTTCGCAAAGGAAATACACTCCTCCCGAAGCGAGGATTTGAAAAACTCCCACCATTCAGCTACTGACGAAAAACGGGGAATGCAGAGAGATAAATCGGAGATACGATAAGATAAATGCTCACAAAAATCAGTATCAGTTAAAAGCGAATTATTAAAGACCAGGACCATGCGGCGCACAATTCGGGAAATTAATAACAAGAGCAACAGAATCATGATCAGAAAAACAACAAGGGGAAATAGACGAAGAAGAAACAAACTGAACGAGGTCAGAGGAAATATAAAATTTATCCAGGCGACTAGCAATCGAGAGATCCGAATTGAACCAGGTAAACTCACGCGATTTAGGGTGTAATTTACGCCAGATATCGGTTAAGTGAAAATTATTTTTAAATTCAGAAATAGCGCAACAAACATTCACATTACCACCGAATTTATCGAGATCGCTTTCGTAGCAATTGAAATCGCCGCAAATAATCCTGTTACCAGCAGGAATAAAAAACTCATGCACATTTTCTAAGAAGGATTTACGATCGGAAGGATTAGTCGGGGCATAAACACCGAGAAGGTTGATTTGACTACCTAAATAATCAATTAACAAACTAATCACGCGACCACTTGAATCCTTACGCCAGGAAAGGCATTTACCTTCAAAACGATGATGGAACAAAGCACAAACACCACCCTGCTTGCCGATGGCTGGGGACCAAAAACTGGGCCCAGACCAACGAGCAGACAAGGACTTAAACTGAGAGTCATCCGAGATCAAAGTTTCCTGAATAAACGCAACATCACAAGTTGTACGAACGAGATCAAAAATAAGATCAGCTTTCCGATCGAAACCCCGCGAATTTGAAGTCAGGATCTTGAAAGTAAGGATTCAATTGGCCGGCCCAGGATCAAAAATACCAGGATCAGATGAGGGGGGGAGGCCCGATCCGGGCTCTGCAGGCACTGCAGGATCAGATCGAGCCGCTCTCCCTGACGGCACTGGGGCTGGATTGGTAGCTCTGCGGTGTAGCGCTTCTAAAGCTTCAGGCATCGGAGCTGGATGTCTTCGGGAAAACGAGCGACGAGTAGAGCGCATAGGCCCAAAACCAGACTCTTCTCTTGGCTCAGGGGGAACAGGGGGGGATTCATCACTAGGCTGATCAGAAGGCTGTTCAGAAGGCTGATCGGAAGGCTGATCGGGAGGCTGATCGGAGGGTAGCTCAGCAGAAGAAAAAAGGCTCTGAGACTCTTCAGCGTCAATAATTTCAGCATCTTTAATTTCCGTATCAGGGGGGGTACCCACAGCACTGTTAGCAGCATCCGGCTCAGCGGAAGAGAAGAGCGGTTGAGACTCCACAGCAACAATTTCAGGAGAAGGAACATTGTCAGAGTGTTCATCAACATCCTCGAACTCGTCATCATCATCATCATCATCTGAACTCATATCGTCGTCATCATCGTTATCATTGTCATTAGCATCATCATTATCAATATCGTCGCGAGTATTATCAGCAAGATCGGGGAATTTAGAAGCAGATAAATCAAAATCCTCATCATCATCTCCGAAGAGTTGGCGTAGGATGAGAAGGCCCTGAGAATCTAAAAAGTCCTCTGAATCAGTAGCAGCAGTAGAGGGGGGATTAGTAGGCTCGTCACGCGGGGGTAAGGATTGTTCATGTTGAATTTCCGGTAGCAATTCTTGCTGAGGTTCTTGCTCCTGTCGAGAAGGAGAGTACGGGGCAGGCGACCGGGCAGGAGAAGACTGACGAAACCAAGAATAAGGACAAAAGCGAGCTCTATGGGATAGTTCCTTGCATATACAACAAAGCTCCTGGTTAGGACAGGACTCCGCAACATGTCCGATCTCGTCACAGTTGAAACAGATGGTGTTATCGCAGTCATTTGCAAAGTGGCCGCGTTGGTTACATCTACGGCAGGTATGTTGTTGGCCATCATGTGACAGGTGAATGAGAAACTTCCCGAAGCGGAGATAGGACGGGATAGCCGCAGTTATCCTAACCCGAAAATGGCGATTGCCATTGAAGACCAATTTATTACGAGGGTACCGACCACGGCGATAGCTAACCACCTCGCAAAAAGGCTCCAGTCGTTTAATAATGGCGTTATCGGACAACTCGTGAGGTGCATCGTAAACGTTTAAATATGTAAGAAAGAGGTCTGAATCGTTAATCGCATACCGACGGTGAGAAATTTGAATACTGTTTTTCTCAACAAAGGCCTTTTTCATAATTGACTGGAGAAGGTAATTAGCATTTCTCCAGTAGGACGGCGTTGTAAACAACGAACGGACGAAGCAGCAAAACCCTGTGCTTTAAGAGCGTCAAATACAGCAGTGGAGTCAGCAAAAACAGAGGCTTGAAAATACGCCGTACAAGGGCGCTCTGGTGTCACATTATCCGGGTGAAAATTCGCTCGCTCGAAGCTCGACAAGAAAATTTCATTGCGATAAGGTCTTGACTCCTGAACACATGGCGCCGCAGCCGGAGTAGATACAGCAGTTACAGCAGCGTAGGAAACATTAAAAACAGGTCCATTCGAGTTCTCAGAAACAGGCAAAGCACTAGGTAACACAGCTGGCTCTTCCACAGAAGGAAAGTCAGTATCCACATCGCTCAATAAGAAAGTATCCCCAGACTGATTTGAAATAGTTTCGACATCACGCTACGCGACCCCCGCCATGAGGCCGCGCGCGATACCACGCGGGTAAAGGACTTGAACGAGTTGAGATGACTTGAAAAAATAAAGACACAGAAAAAATACCTGATGAAAAATCACTGATTACTTCTTGATCTCTTGATTTCTTTCTGTGATCGCTGAACGGCAAAGACCAAAAAGGGAAAAATCCAACACTGATCTTAGCCAAAACGGCCGAGAAGCGATGCCCCTTTAGGTCCTCCGGACCTAGGGTGGTTGGTTCCTTCCCCATCCTAGATATGGTGGTTGCAATACTGTCGCATCCCATGATGCATCTGCCACTCTATGCGAGGACAGGGAGATATCATTGGCTCAGTCCGAGCACGGATACTCGGCCAAGCTCCCCAGGACACTGCAGTGTGTATAGACAGGGATCAAATAGCGTCTACACGGTACCCAGGCCCTAACAACCTATAGAAGGATGGGGAACACGAAAACGAGGCAGACTGGGACCGCTTACTAAGCCCCAAAGGGTTTTTAAAGCCCGCTAAGCTCCGTGTAAGTGGCCGCATAAATTTATTTACAGCTACAAACGACGAGAGAAAGGGCGAGTTCAATATATACAAGCAAACAAGTACTGATTCAAAGCTGTACTCACGGTATAGACGGATGTTTATGATCCTGCTTACTTGCTTTTCAACCATCGACCATAATCCTCTTTCTTGAACATACACATCTCTGGCGACTTTCCCTTCACCTCACCTTTGAGAGAGTAAAACATTTCAGTCTCTACTCTGTACTTAGCTGCTTTTTAAATAACATGCTGCTAGCTTAGCTACAAATCAACTTCAACATATTCCAAGATCATTTACCTTCTTTCTTGGTTCGCGGAGACTTCTTTCTCTCCGTGATTTATCGATCGATCGATCGATCCATGACCTGTATGAGAAACAATCACACGCGCGCACGTTACCAGTTGTATCATTGGCGCGCGCGTTTTTAAATAACCTGTGGACCGCGCTAAATACAATAATTACTACAAAACCGGGGACTAGTGCGAACGCAGGTCCCCACTACCAGAAATTATACGCTCGAGTTACCCACATTTGGGGTAATCGCAAGGGTCAACCCAATCAAAGTGCAATGAGAGGGCCTCACCTTGAGAGGACTGCCTCCTTGATCACAGTGCCTCCCGCGTCAGGTAAGTTTTTTTGTTTTAGGGCTAGTGAACCCAGCTGAGTGCAATGCTGAGCCACCATTAACACTATAACACACGAAGTCCTAACACGCTCGCCCTAGGGAGGGTGCACAAGCACGCCAACTTCGCCGGGAGAACGAACCCCGCCTCCCCTTACACAAACACAATACAGGACAGAACAACAACAAGGCAAAAAATAACACAAAAAGACAAGCTAAAAAACGCGGAAGGCACCAAATCTAAGCAATATACAAGCAAAAATGAAAAAACGGCAATGTCACAATGTCTCTAAGCAATGTACAAGCAAAAATCGAAAAAAGCAAAGTCACAATGTCTCTAAGCAAAACAAGCAATAATATACAGGCAAAAGTCGAAAAAAGCAAAGCCACAATGTCTCTAAGCAAAACAAGCAATAAAAAGCAACACATCAAAAAAACTACTGACCAGGAAACTTAGCAGGAGTACCAGCAGGCAGGGACTCCGCAGACACAGCAACATTCGTAACAAAATTTGGGCTAGCAACAACTCTGGACAACTTGCGATGGACATATTTGACAAAACGATCTAGCTCAAAAGTACAAGAATCAGTAACAACAGAACGAGTGAGGTAACCAAAATCCATAACTACCGGAACATCGGGCTTGACAGGATCTGGAGACACATGAGCATAAGAGGTCCTCGGGAGGATACCACGATGAGGACGAGTGAGAGCATCCGCCACTTGCTGAGGGGGAAAACCAGAGGGCGGCAGATCAACAAACTTCTTCTTACGAGGGGGAGGTACTGAACGACGAACAGGAACAGACAACGCGGAAACAGCAGGACCAGACGACAGAGCGGGCTGACTCCCTGCAAGAGCAGACTGGCCGAGAAGATCAACAGAAGACTCAGCAGAAATGATCGACTCGACGAAAGACTCAGACAAGGCACGCTTCCTCGTGCGCGAGGCTACTTCGTGACCAGGAGCGGCGGACTTAACAACCTCCTCATCACCAGAACAGGACTCAACAGCTTCCTCCTCATCGGAAACGACATCAGACTCCGAGGCGGAGAAGTAAACATAGTCCAGGTCTTCCTCCTCATCGGCAGACACAGAAGGGTCAACACCAAGAGCAGGAGCAGGAACAACAACAGCAGACGAACGACGAGAGGAACACTCTCGTGCCATGTGACCAGGCTGACGACATCGACGACACAAACCATTAAGCGGACAATCACGAACACGGTGACCAAATTGACGACAGACAGGACAGGACTGGGGCTGGCCCAGGTACCACAAGCGAACGTCGAAGCCAGCGATGCGAACCGTTGACGGCAGATCTTTCAGAAGGGTGACCTTGGCCACACGCGTACCGGTTTTGACATCGGGCAGACCAGGATGAAAACGAGGCGACAAAGAGTGGACAATACCATACTGGTGGAGAAAAACACAAACAGGCTCATCCGGCACTTCCGCAGGAAGATCACGGACGTAGACCAGACGAGTACGAGCGTCAACAGGAGAAAAACGAAGCTTGGAACCACGGAAGGAGACACCACTAGCGAGGGCCGCATCACACTGGGCTGACTCCTTGAAAGTACCCGAACGATTCCGTTGGGCACAAACTGAATACACTGGACATTAGCGATGTCCAAGGACTTGGCAAGATCCGGCAGGACTTGAGCCGAACCAGCAGAACGATAGACGGTTGACGGGAAATGCACGGCCAACGTGCGGGGGCACTGGACGACAGCAGACATGGCAAACGGAAAGACGCCCAAGTTAAGCCCGGGTCCGCAAGGAACCGAAACGGGCTGGGTGCCCCACAAAACGGAAAAAGAAAAAACTAGTGAAACCTGGCGTTCCCTGGGGGCTGAATCCCGGCAAGGTACTTAGCACCGTTCACAAACAAAAAACTAACTCGAAAAAACGCCACTAAGGACGGGATACTCTCCTTAGGTACCACAATGCAGTGGCCCGCGTCAGGTAAGTTTTTTATGTTTTAGGGCTAGTGAACCCAGCTAAGTGCAATGCTGAGCCACCATTAACAAAGTACCACACATACAAACTTGACAGACAAGCCCAAGGAAGGGTGCACCAGCACGCCAAACTCGCCGAGGGACCGAACCCCGCCTCCCCTTACAAACACACATGACGGGACAAAACAACACCAAGACCAGACAGCACAAAGGGACAAGTTAAAAACCGCGGGAGGAACCACAACAACGACAAAGAAAAAACCATCTGCGTGACTCCCCACCAGACTGATGGCGCGCTATCAGATGGAGCAAAAGGGCCAGGCAGCAAAGCAGGGAGCCAACAACGAAAAGCAAACAAAAGTGGGAAACAAAACAAAAAGAAAAGCTAAAAATTGTAAAACTGTAGGAACTAAATCGATAAAAACAAACGGCCATCACGGACTGAACCAACAACACCATTGGCACACCACTGCCTACCAAAATACCTGCGCCTCCTAGAGGATTTGAAACGGCGGAAAAACAATGGCAAATGATACCGGATCCGGGACTTAACACGTTCCAAAACAGCAACAGCTCCAGGCTGCACATCACGGAAGCGAAAGTCATTCCTAGCCACCCAAATAGAAAACTTACACACATTGAGAGCATAAACAAAAAACCGAGGGACGCACAGCAACTCATCTTCCGAGAATCCAAAACGGACATGGCGAAGAAGGATAGGACCGAAAGATGGAGAAGAAAGAAACAACAACGAAGAAAGCCAGGAAAGCACACTAACAGCCAAAGGACAAGAAAAGAACAAATGATCCAAAGACTCCGATGCATGACCACAAAAACAGGCAGTAGGAATGACGTAACCAAACGAAGACAAACGATCAGCAGTGTATAACACGCCGTGGGCAACTTTCCATGACAAATCAATCACCTGCCGGTCCATATCAAAGAAAAATAACTGGCGCCAAGTGGAGGGCCAGTACAAAGGACCGAAAGAAGGAAGAAATTTCCCAACACAATGAGGAACCCCAGGAAGTTCGGATACAAGCGAAAGATATACTGACTTGGTGGTTAACGAAGACACAGGGGATACCATCAAACCATGACCAACACAAAGCGAACCCCGACTAGGCAGGAATGAACCGTCAATAGACCTCCAAGCAGACAGGAGAGAAAGATAGAAAACCGGCAGCCCACCCGAACCAGGGAAACGAGACGGGTTGGATAAAACCTGAACAGGAGAGGCGGCAAAACCTTGGCCACACCAGAACGAAAAAAGGAAACCCACGTGGACGGGGACAACGAAAAATGTTTCACCCATTGAAGCAGAAGGGCCCAGACCTTCAGCTGAATATTAACAACTTAGAAACCGCCACTAAAGGGAGGTTGGACAATAACATCCCTAGTAACGAGATCAGGTTTACCATTCCAGAAGAAATTGAAAACCGCCTTGTTTAACTCACGCAACACCCGCTGAGGCATGTGAATAACAGACGCCACATACCAAATCCTTGACAGAGCAGGGGCATTAATCACCAGAGCCTTCCCACGATAGGACAAAGAACGCTGGCGTCACGACGACAGAACATTCTCAACAGCAGTGATGCGAGGATGCCAGTTATCTTCCTCAGAAGCAAACGGGCCAAGAAAGACCCCCAAAAGTTTGACCTTAACGGAACTCCATTCGATAGCAACAGGGGAGTCCGACCTACCATTCCACGCACCAAGCCAAAGACCCTTGCACTTAGCCAGGTTGAGCTTAGCCCCAGAACCCCGTTCATAGAGATCATACACTTCAAAAGTAGCAGTGATGGCATCATCAGTTGTGACCACAACAGAAGTGTCATCCGCATACTGCGACAGAGGGGGCAAAGGGACCACAGAACCGGGGAGAGATAGTCCAGAGATGTCAGGGTGAGAACGAATGTTGCAAGCCAAAACCTCAGCCACCATAACATAAAGCAAAGGCGATAAAGGGCATCCCTGACGAACGCCCCGAGACAGGGAGAAATAAGGCGAGATGTGCCCATTGACATTGACCACACTCTGCAAACCACAGTAAAATAGATCAATCCAGCCAATAAAAGAAGGACCAAGGCCCATTGAAGACAGCGTGGCCCTCATGAAGGACCAGTCGACACGGTCAAAGGCTTTCTCTTGATCTAAAGAGAGAAGCGCACAAGAGACCCCAACCTGAGAAACGTCATCAACAACATCTCGCAAATACGCAACATTTTCCCCGATGAAACGCCCAGGGACACCACACGTTTGGTCCTTACCCACCACAACATGTAAAACCTTCAACAGACGACCAGCAATCGCTCTGGACGCAATCTTATAGTCCACATTAAGCAACGAAATGGGCCTCCAGTTCCGAGGATCAATCCTATCACCTTTCTTGAAGGATAGCGAAATAACGCCTCTACGCTGAGATTTGGACAAACGACAGTTCACTAGGCAAGAGTTAAGAACCCTCACCAAATCAGCCCCCAAAACCTGCCAGAACTTTACATAAAACTCCATCGGGAGACCATCATTTCCCGGAGCCTTACGATGAGCCATCCCCTTAAGAGCAGAAAAACATTCATCAACTGACAGTGCACCCTCACAAACCTCCGACTGATCAGCAGACAAACGTGCGGAGAGTTTAGATAAAAGCTCCTCCTGAGAAACACGGGCCACTTCCTCCGCAGAAGAGAGTAGAATAAAAATTGGCGAAACAGTCAACAAGATCCGGAGCGGAGTTAACAATAGAACCATCATCAAGACGCAGGGCAGACACTAAACGATCAGCCCCTTGCTTCTTTACCAGACGGAAAAAGTAAGCAGAGGAGGACTCACCCTCCTCAACCCAGCGGGCATGACTGCGGACCTGGGCACCCCGCGCAGCCTCCAGGTCAAACTTGGCAAGGCTGGACAGAGTAGACTGATAAGGACCAAAACAGAACATAGCCCCAGAGTCCACACGCTGTTTCAGGAACTCAGCTAACCGGACCAGGAGGTCTCTCTCAGTTCTCCTAGCAGACGCACGCTTCTTGCAGTAGTGAATAGATAGACGCTTTATCTCCCGCTTTCCTTCATCCCACCAATCATCCAGGGAAGAAAAAGCAAAGGCACGCGAACGCCAAAAGGCCCAGAAAGCAGAGATTAAGGTAACATACTCCGGTTCATCCAGAACAGCCAGGTGAACCGCACAGTGGTCAGAAAACGGGAAAGGAAGAATATCACAGGCAGAGACAGCAGAAACCCAAGAGAAAGGAACCCCAAAAAGATCAATACGACAGGAAACAAGGCCGTTCCATCTCGACCAGGTGAAACTGTTGGAAGACAGATGTAGGTAGCGCCAGATGTCAAGAACACAACAGAACGAAAAGAGACGTGAAAGCGCAACTGAGCTCTCACGAGCAGTATCGAAAGGGTCCGAGCCAACTCGGTCCAAAAGGCGATCAAAAACAGCGTTAAAATCACCGCAGAGCAAGGTAGGGACTGAGGGATCAACACGCCCCTCCACATCCGAAAGAAAGTGTCCCGAGCAGGATTTCGGTTAGGCGCATAAATACACGCGACCCGAAAGAGCTTAGCCTGAAAAGAGAACTCACACTGTACAAAACGACCATCAGCATCAGACCAAGAACCAACAAGAGACAAGCGAGGGCGGTACAAGACTACACAACCAATGAGTGCACGGAACCCGAGGACACAACACAAAAGAGGCCAGAGGAGGAAAACCACCTAGTGCACTCCTCAACCGACGTGCAATGGACCTCTTGCAAACACACAATGTCAATAGGAGAAGGCAGAGCCTGGAGCCACTGCACTACACCCGCACGTTTACCAGCATCCCGCAACCCATTAACGTTAATAGTAATTATAGACAGCGCCATCTCATCTGCGGCGTTGAGACAACTCACCCCAATCCTCAGCAGCTTTAGGCATACCCAAACTAAGACCAGCAGGGCGGGAGCTACTGGCCTTACGAACCCCTGCGCCCAGAACCTTAGGAATTTTGGAGCTGATGGTAGTGCTAGAGCCTTTGCCCACAGCAACAGGCAATCTAGACTGAGGAGGCCGACTACCCGACAAGCCAGAGAGGCCAGACAGGCTAGAGCCAGGACTGACAATATTAACACTAGGAACATTAACACCAGGTTCATCCTCATCATCACTATCATTATCACCAGAGTCCTCATCAGATAACAAACCCTCACTACTAGTTTCATAGACATTTTCGTTAACTTCATCATTATCTACAGAACTAAAGTCATTATTGCTTTGCATATCACTAACATTACTATCATCATTCATATTTGATTCACTATTAACTATGTCATTACTAATGCCACTATTGCCACTCTTACTTGATTCACTATTAACTATGTCGTTACTAATACCACTATTGCCACTATTAACTATGTCATTACTAATAGCATTATCACTAGATTTATTGACATTAACTACAGACAAATTAGAATTTGGAGGGTGGTCCCCAGACAAATTTGAATTTGGGGTAGTAACAACCGCTCCAAACAAGGAGTCAGAACAATTTGTGCCAGCGCCAATGGACCCCAGAGAAACAAGCTCATCTAATTGGTTATCACGGGAGTCAACAGACTCACTCAGATCACAGGGAGCGGAAACACCAGCCAGAATCGACTGACTAACAGCCTGGGAGGAGGCATCCCCCACCTCCGAAGAGCCGGCACCATCTGGGATCTCAGCCGGAAGGCCCGCAGGGGCAGAATCAACAGCAACAGTGGCAGCCCTGGCAGAGGCAGACTCAGGCATACCGGGAACAGAAACGACAGACTCGCTAACCTCGGGGAGGTCAAGATCAGGATTGGCAAGACGACGACGATGCACCGGGCAATTTTGCTGGAAATGCCCAGGCTGTTTGCACTCCATACATTTTCCCCGCATATCACAAGATCGTGCGATGTGCCCTTTCTTCCCACAGATGTCACACTCGGGCTCTTGGCCCACATAGGAAACCTTCACCGGGAAGCCATCGATAATCAAGTTACGGGGGATAGCCCGAGTACGGACCATCCTCACCGTGCGGACACCGTCACAAACATCAGTAAGGTTGATCCAGTGACGGAACCGAACGTACTCAACATCTCCAAAAAAACTTAGTGCAGCCTTGACAACATCATGCCCAATTTCAAAAGGGAAATTATAAATGAGAACATTTTGAGGGCGAGGACCCCCACCACGAATGTCACAATCCACCCCCCTAATACAAACAGATTGGTGCTGCATAACACTATGTTTATGTTCTTGTCGCTCAAAAGTAACCTTGGCTTCTGTGCCAAAAAACTGAACAGCCGCGATTGGCATAGTCCCAAACTGATCGACAATGGCCGAAACAACATCCGGGCGGGACGAGCCCTGAGCCGCAAGGCCCGAAACATCAACAGAGACAGTGCACGGAAAAGTGCGCGCACGAGACATAACAATACCGAACCAAAAAAGTAAAGCCCTGACGGGCGGGGGAAAAAAGGAGAAGGGCGACCAAAAAGCCCAACCAAACCAAAAAAGAGAGAGACCCAAAAAAAACCCTTATGGGCAACGCCCAACAAGGGACGGGGGGACCGAAGCCCGCTAAAAGCGGAACCGGGGGGGCAACCCAACTATAATACAAAAAAGAGTAAAAACTTACAAAAACCGATCCGTGAACCAAGGAGCCAAACTACCACTGCAAGGCGAAGGCCACCAAAAACTGCAAAGTCGAGAGGCGGTATCCACGAAGGGAAGAACACGCACCAGGAAAACACAGCAACACTTACCACAAGCGAGCGAACCTACACCAAAAATGGTATTAGGAGCGCGTCGCGAGCGTCAGGTAAGTTTTTTTGTATTTGAGGTGAATGGCCGGCCCCCAGTAGGGTAGTGCAATGCCGCCAGACTTAACGTCTAGTACCAAACACACATCAAACGGGGCAGTGCACCAGCACAGAAACTGACTGGGGGAATTGAACCCCCGCCCCTACATACACAGTACAAGACAAACATCTACAGGACAAACATCTACAGGACTAAAGAACAAGTTAAAAGACGCGGGCACTCCCTAAAAACAATAACTAAAACTAAAGACACACACACTCAGAACCACTCCAAAAGGAGGAAACTAAAAACTAAACTGAAACTAAACTGGCGATAAACTAAAACGGACACCAACAGTCCCGAGACACACTCTCTCAAACAAGAAGGAGACCAAGTACAACCAACGAAGGCGACCAAGAACCCATAGACACACTCACTCAAGCAAAAGGAAACCCAGTACAACCAACAAAGGCGACCAAGAAACCCAAGACACACTCACTCAAGCAAAGAAAATTCCCTAGCCACCGACGACTAAGGGAAGCAAGACACACTCACTCAAGCAAAAGGAAACCCAGTACAACCAACAAAGGCGACCAAGAAACCAAGAGACACACTCACTCAGGAACAAAAGGAAACCCAGTACAGCCAACAAAGGAGACCAAGAAACCAAGACACACACTCACTCACTCAAATACAAGAAGACGAAAGTAAAAGGAGCCCTCTGACACTCTCCCAACAACGCCATTTGCTCCCTACTGCCAATGAAAATAACGTTGGCGACAAGGTGACCTAAACCGCTTAAAGAAAATGCAAAGGTGGCATTTTGCGCGAGCTTTGACAACCTCAATCAGGGGGAGAGCCCCCGGCTGAACATCACGGAAACGGTAATCGTTGCGGGCCCTCCATAAGAAGTACTTGGCTAGATTCAACAAGTAAACAAAAACATGCGGAACCACAGCAAGTTCAGAAGCAGAGAAACCAAAGAGAACGTGACGGCACAACAAGGAAGGACACAGGGATGACGCACGAAACATGAGAGATTGAATCCAGCCAAGGATGCTCTGAGCCAGAGAACATTCAAAAAACAGATGAGACGGAGTCTCCGGAGAGCCACAGAAACAGTTTGGATCGTAGTCGTACCCAAAGGAGATGAGCCGATCCCCCGTGTATAAGACACCGTGCGCCACCTGCCAAGCCACATCAATGGCAGATCTGTCAACAGGACAAAAGCTAAGCTGCCTCCAGGTGGTAGACCAGTACAGCGGACCATACAGGGGGAGGAACTTCTCCTCAGAGTGGGGAGGAACAAAGTTGACAGATAACAAATACAAGTAGGCAGACTTGGCAGACATTGAAGACGCCAAAGCAAACAAATGGGGGTCCGACGAGGCCATAACCAAGGCCGCCCGCGACCGAGAGAAAGAGCCATCGACAGCGCGCCAGGCTAACAATAACGACTGATAGAACGGAGGGAGAGCACGAGGGCTAAAAGCAAAAGGCTGAGAAAACACATCCACCGGAGAGGAATTAAAGACAGAGTGAAACCAGAAATGCACAAAAGCAGACCAGCCGGATTGCGGCGTGACAAAACGTCTGACCCACTGAACCAACAATGACTGAACCTTTAATTTAACATCTACCACCGAGAACCCACCGACTGAGGGAGCCTGGAGAACCACAGCTCGAGCAACAAGATCCTTCTTGCCTTTCCAGAAAAAGCTGAAGACCAGCCTCAGCAGTTCCCCAAAGACCCAGGGGGGCATGTGGATGAGAGAAGCCACATACCACACCCTGGACAGAGCTAGGGCATTGATGACAAGGGCACGGCCCTGAAAGGACAAGATTCGCTGACGCCAGGAAGAGAGAGTGTTCTCAACCGCAGCAATGCGGGGCTTCCAATTGTCATCATCAAGGTTCCCGGGGCCCAAAAAGACACCTAAGACAGATTAAGCTTAGAGCCAGAGCCGCGCTCATATGTATCATAAACAGCAAAACAGGCACGAATAGCCTCATCGGTACAGACAACCAGTGACGTGTCATCGGCATACTGAGAGATCGGGGACAAAGGGTCTGACGACCCGGGGAGACAAAGGCCTTTGATACGTGGATTAGCACGAATATTACACGCAAGCACCTCAGCAACGAGAACATACACGAGAGGAGACAGAGGGCAGCCCTGACGGACGCCACGAGACAAAGAAAAGAAAGGAGAAAGATAGCCATTCACATTAACAGAACTTTGGACGCCAGTATAACACAAGTTAACCCACTGAAGAAAAGAAGTGCCAAACCCCATTTTCCGAAGAGTGGCATACATAAAGGACCAATCCACCCTATCAAAGGCCTTCCCCTGATCGAGAGACAAAATGACCACAGGAGAGTCAAACATAGTGGCATAAGATACCACATCACGGAGAAAAGCGACATTCTCGCCGATGTATCTCCCCGGAACCCCACAAGTCTGGTCCTCAGCGACCACAAGATGAATGACGTTTAGCAACCTAGCTGCAATAGTGCGCGCAGCCAGCTTGTAGTCCACATTCAAGAGGGATATGGGACGCCAGTTCCGCATATCCAGACGGTCAAGGAACCAGCAGTATAGCACGAGTTGAGGACATGAACGAGGTCCTGCCCCAGAACATGCCAAAACTTAAGATAGAATTCAGCTGGGAGGCCATCCAAGCCCGGAGCCTTGAGCTTGGCCATCCCAGACAACGCCTCAAAACACTCCTCAACAGACAACAAACCTTCACAAGACTCCGATTGAATGGTAGACAAAGATGACTCGATGTTATCAAGCAGGGACTCCTGCGCGTCAGCATCAGTGGGCTCAGCAGAAAAGAGGGATGAATAAAAAGAAGAGAATGAACCACAAAGGTCCTCGGGGGACACAACAATTCGACCATCAACAGTCCGCTTTGCAGCTATGTGGCGATCCACCCCACGCTTTTTCTCCAAACGAAAAAAATAGGAGCTGGAGGATTCACCCTCCTCAATCTAGCGCGCCCTTGCACACACTTGAGCACCCCTCGCCACCCACACATCAAGTTCAGCCAGCTGTTGCAGTATCGACTGGTACGGCCCAACCAGAGACAGGATTCCACCATCAACACGCTCCTTAAGATGAATGGCAAGCCTAGAGAGAAGGTCTCTCTTTATCGCAGTATCAGATGACTTCGAGCAACAATAGTTGATAGAGAGACCCTTGATACGAGATTTGCCAGCCTCCCACCACTTAGCCAGGGAAGGAAAACGATCCTTCTGGTCACGCCAGCGGGACCAGAAGTTTTCAACCTGGCGAACATATTCGACCTCCTCCAAAATGGAGATATTCAACTTCCACAGCCCGGGACCCGGGGGAACGACATCCGGAACAGTGACACACAAAAGAACAGCACAATGGTCGGAGAACGGACACGGAACAATTTCACACGACGAAACAGAAGGGACCCACACATACGGACAACCAACGAGATCAATACGAGAGGAAACAGAGCCGTCCGGACTCATCCAGGTGTAACCAGAGGAGGAGGGGTGTTTGTAACGCCAGGCGTCAACGACACAACATTCATCAAAGAGCCAAGAGAGAGTAGAAGAACTCTCCCTAGAGGTGTCAGAAGCCACAGATCCCGCACGATCAAGCGAACGATCAAAAGCGGTGTTAAAATCTCCACACACAACTGTGGGGATTGCAGGATCAACCCAAGAAGGAACCAGCTCAAGAAATTGGTCTCTTGCAGGATTGAGATTGGGGGCATACAAGGAGACTACACGAAACAATTTGCCATGGAAGCGGAATTCACACAACACAAAACGACCAGCATCATCAAACGAAGAGTTGACAAGGGACAGACAAGGACGAAAAAGGATGATACAACCACACGACTTTTGAGAACCAGGAGACGCAACAGAGTGAAAGCCAGAAGAACGAAACCAGGACTGACACTCGACATCACTAACACAGTGAGTCAAACTTACAAGATCGACGACCGTAGACTTGAAGCAGCACTACCAAGTAGGCCAAGATGAAGAAAACCACAACACCAAAGACGCCCGTAGTCACGCAGACTGGAACACACTTGGATATGTAGCAACACTTACCACTTGAAAAAACGCAGAAATTGTACCACAAGAAAAATCAGAAAAATCAGCCGGCAAAGAGCCATGTTTACTACGCAGGGAAGATAACAAAGATAGACAATTACGATAAAAAGCAGACGGCTCGGAAGACAAAGGAATTGAGCGAGAAGAAAAATCAAAACTAGGATCAAGGTTAGAAAAGCGATCTCCGAAAAAGTAGCGAGCTAAGAAGTGCCATTTGCATGTGCCGAATCCCTCCCGATACCCAGAGAGACCCGACAAACGCAAACTTGAACACTTGGTTTCAAAATCAACGATATTCAGGCGCCCACGCGCGATGGGGGCCACGCAGCGCGCTCGGCTTACAGTTTCAGACTTTGATTTCCAAATAAAAGGCCAAACAGCTCGTTTGTATTCAATAGAAACCCATTTTGGGTGGGGCAGCACTTTGGCAACATGCCAAAATCTGCTGGCCCCAAGGACTTTTAAAATCATGCCTCTGCCTAAAAAAGAAAGATCTCTTTGCGACCATAGCCCTAAAGTCTTTTTTAACTTATCTAATTTCGATTGCCAGTTTTCTTTATCAACAGCAACTAATCCGTTTGAAAAATAAACACCTAAAATTCTAAGTTTATTAACCCATTGTAAACCGAAGGGGGAGGCGCCATTAGCTCTCCACCTACCCAACCACATCGCCTCAGACTTGGTGGTGTTGAGCTTGGGCCCAGACCCCCTCTCGTACCTGCTCACAGTCTCTAGAAGGTGACAGAGAGATCTCTCATTCTTCACAAAATTAGTGGCATCATCGGCGTATTGCGATATCTTAAATTGAAGGCCACCTGCTCCGGGGAGCAGGAAGCCTTCAATCGCAGGATTTTTACGAATTTGATTTGCTAGGACTTCAGAAGTAAGGACATAGAGGAGGGGGGAGAGGGGACATCCCTGTCTAACCCCCCTCCCTAAGAAAACAGGAGTAGAAAGCTTGCCGTTACAAATGATCCGCGAAAAAACATTAAAATAAAAAATAGAAACCCAGCAACAAAAAGACGGACCAAAACCAAACTTAGTTAACACTCTCATGAGGAACTCATGATCAACTCTATCAAAGGGTTTCATTTGATCAAGTGTAACTGAAATTTCGGTCTCATCAGTCTTATTAATCATGTCTAGGGTATCACGGATCAAGTGTAAATTTGAAAAAATTGATCTACCTACTACACTACAAGTTTGATCGGAATGAACAATTGATGGCATAACTTGTTTCAGACGATCTGTAATTATTTTGGACGCTAATTTATAATCACAATTAAGAAGCGAGATAGGCCGCCAATTTTTAGCTAAACGTTTATCAAGCTTTTTATAGATAAGGCGCAAAAGGGCTTCGCGCTGGCTCGTACAAAGAGAACCAACCCGAAAGCAGTCGTTTAAAACACAAAGTAGAGGATCGCAGAACAATTCCCAGAAAGCAGAATAAAATTCGATAGGAAGGCCGTCAGAACCGGGCGATTTACCGGTCTAAAGGCCTTTCAGAGCGGCAAAAAGCTCATCTTTTGTGAATAATCCTTCACATTGTTCTCGCTCCGCGTCGGACAAAGAAAGGTCAAGATCATCTATGATTTCAGTCTGAATTTGCATGTTAAGGGAATCCTTAGAGAATAACGCTTTGTAAAAGTCAACTAAAATGAGCTCAATGTCATTATGCAAATATTTTTCTTCGCCGGATTCATCCAAAAGGGACTCAAAAATATTTTTCTCCGCGCGTTTACGTTCGAGGCGGAAAAAGAACCGAGTAGGTTTCTCGCCCTCCTCGAACCAACGCGCTCGCGAGCGGATTTTCGCGCCTTCGCACTCGTTGCTAATGACGGTTTCTAAGGCAGATTCAAGTTTGTTTACATTTGAAATTTGGTCGCGATCGCCAAGGAAAACAGCCGATTTAGCCCTAAGTAACGTTTAGTTAAAGAATTGCGTTCAGAAAGAAGTTGTTTGGGTTTTCGAGAGGAAAAGTCAATACAAGTACGGCGGATCTGAAGTTTCAAATTATCCCACCAATCACTCAGCGAACCAAACATAGAAATTTTCTCTTTCTCAGTAGTAATTAGAAGGGTCATAATATTAACAAAATCATCATCGGAAAGAAGAGAACAGTAAAACTTCCAAACACCGCTTCCGTGAGGAGAAACATTGACCGGAGAAATAAATAAATCGACAAAATCATGATCAGAAAGGGGGCAAGGAAAACATTTATTTCCAAGAAAAGACTGAACGAGAGAGGAAGAAATATAGAAACGATCGAGGCGAGAAGCCTGGGAAAAATCCTTATTAGACCAGGTAAAAGAAATCGCTTTCAGATTCTTTTTACGAAATATATCAACAAGGCAAAAATCGGACTTAAGGGCCGACAAGCAGCGCTTGTCCGCGCTAAAGTCCGATTTAATATTCAAGCGATCAAGGTCAGAATCAATACAATTGAAATCGCCACCTAAAATTAAATCACCGGGGAACAGAAAAAAGGTATGTAAACGGCTGAAAAATAATCTACGGTCAGACACGGTGTTTGGAGCGTAAAGACAGATGATATTAAATTTGGAAGAGTTATAATTAACAAGGAGACTTAAAATCCTGCCATCAGTGTCGTGAACATAACGGATAATATTCCCGGAGAAATTAGGAGAAATAAAAATAGCTACACCAGCCGATTTGCCTATCCCAAAGGACCAAAGACATTGGCCTTTAAAATTTTTCTCAACAAGATCAGCCTGAGTTTTACAAGAAATATGCGTTTCTTGCAAAAGAAAAATATCATAATTAAGATTCTCATTTAACTCGTGAAGAAAAAGGTCGCGTTTACGGGCAGTTCCTAGCCCACGAACATTGATGGTAAGGAGTTTAAGTTGCTCGAAGGTAAGTTAAATAAAAATAAATTAATAATACCTGCTTTTCTTGCGATGTGTAACTTTAATCCAGCCACGATCACGATCATCTTCAGATTCGCTGCTACTGGCATGGCTATAACGGTGGGAAGAACGGTCGCGACCTGAGCGATCGTAGTCGCGATCGCGGCGACTATCTTCCTTGCTTTCTTTCCTGCGTTCATCCCCACTGTCAGCCTGATCCTCCCTTCTACGGTGGTGTCTGTCCTTCCTGTCACGCTCCCTTCGATCTTGTTTCTCCTGACGCTCGTGATCTCTACGTTCTCTCTCTCTGCGGTCCTCTTTCTCTTTCTCTTTGCGTTCTCTCTCCTTTCGTTCTTGTTTCTTGCGTTCCTCACGTTCCCTCTCCGCGCGCTCTTTCTCCTTTCTCTCGCGTTCTTTCTCCTTCCGCTCGCGTTCAGCGCGTTCCTCCTCGGCTTGCTTTCCTCTCTCAGCAGCTTGAAGATAACTGGAGGCAGAAACCTTAACGGAAAGAACATTAGAGCTGTAATAAATATAAGGACACTGCGGGGTGGGGTGAGAATCGGCCAAGCACACGCGACACAGGGGCGACAAAGGAGAGTCGTCCGAGCGATGGCCAGGCTGTTCACAGTTGAAGCAGCGCTGGGATTTACACGAGGCTGCAAGGTGCCCTTCTGCACCGCATTTTCGGCAGGTTTTGGGCTGGCCAGGGTACGAATACGGGCGAATTCGCCAGCAATAAACGTTTGGCCCGGAATAGGCCGGTCGAGGACCATTCGCGCGGTGCGTACCCCATTGTAAATTCCCTCTGCTATCCGGTCTCGTCGGAAGGAAAACACGCGGCCATAATGCAACAAGCGACCGATAATGACCAAGTCCGGCAGTTCCGTTGGTAGCTCGTACAATTTAACAATGGTAACCTTGTTCTCACAGTCACCCAGAAAAACGACGCAGCCCGAAATGGTAACACTCTGCTCGTTGAGTGCAGCGGTCTTGGAAACTGGAGAGTCAAAGGTCACAATCCACGTATTGTTGCTCGCCTTTCTTTGAATCGAAGTAATGGAATCGATGTCAATTCCTGACTTGTCGAAACCAACCACAATGTCCTGACTCGTCACAACAGTGTCTACCGAAAAGCAAACGGAACAATCCTTCTTTATGCGGACTTTTGGGCCACTGACTTTCCATAACTCGCACGACACGGTTTGAAAGTGATGACCAGCGTGTTGTAAGTCGGCCATAACCGTGGGAAGTTCCGGGAAGGTACTCTCAGATTCCAGGGGGGGACTCGGTGATGTTCTCGTAAACAATTCCGGTGTAGCGCATGTCCCGTCACTATTCAACTCTTGAATTAAAGGTGTCTCTCCCACAGGCGTGGGAGCACTCGATGAAGTCATCATGGGAGACGACAGATTGCTTCTGTTTGACCGCCTAAAGAAAAAAAAACCTAGGGGGGCCTCTTGACTGATCTTAGCCAAAAGGCCGAGAAGCGATGCCCCTTTAGGTCCTCCGGACCTAGGGTGGTTGGCTCCTTCCCCATCCTAGATATGGTGGTTGCAATACTGTCGCATCCCATGATGCATCTGGCACTCTATGCGAGGACAGGGAGATATCATTGGCTCAGTCCGAGCACGGATACTCGGCCAAGCTCCCCAGGACACTACAGTGTGTATAGACAGGAATCAAATAGCGTCTACACGGTACTCAGGCCCTAACAGCTCGGCCATTAACCTATAGGAGGACAGGGAACACGAAAACGAGGCAGACTGGGACCGCTTACTAGGCCCTAAAGGTTTTTACAGCCCGGAAAGCTCCGTGTAAGTGGCCGCATAAATTTATTTACAGCTACAAAGGAAGACTTCACAGCCTGTTTTGTAGGTCAGGGTTGCCTGAGGAGAGTAATGAAGTAATGCCTCGCTTACATGTTCACCATACTCGGTATAAGAAGTCAAATTTTCTCTCCTTTCTCTCGCCTACGACCATACCACAGGGAGAACACCGGTTCTCGTCTGATCACCGAAGTTAAGCCCTGTCGGGCGGGGTTAGTACTTGGATGGGTGACCGCCTGGGAATACCCCGTGTTGTAGGCTTCTTCTTTTCATTGATTTTTCCTGGAATTTTTTCATCCTTTTTGCTGTTCTACCCCTTGCTGGGATGTACCTCTGCTGTCAGTTGCCAAGTTACGCCGAATTATTCTTCGAAGCAATCAAGTTGTGGGGTAATTTTTTTTCACAATAATATAGCTTGCACATAGAACGCGCGTTGGTTCGAGAGCGCGCGGTAATGTTCCATTTTGCTCAGTGACTTCAAATCACCGCTTGTGACATCACTTTTTTCAAATCACAGCTTCCACAAGTCTACGTTCGCCTTTAAGTGCAACTACAGGCCGAGAAAACGGCCGCGAACGCCAGACAAACAAGCCAAAAGGCCATATACAATTTGCCCTCGATCCACAACACAAGACCGAGTTCGTTAATAGTTGTTATTAACGGTCGACGGTTTAAATTAACCGCCGAAACCAGCGCCTTGCAGTAAAGACCAACAAGAGAAAGGGCGAGTTCAATATATACAAGCAAACAAGTACTGATTCAAAGCTGTACTCACGGTATAGACGGATGTTTATGATCCTACTTGCTTGCTTTTCAACCGTCGACCATAATCCTCTTTCTTGAACATACACATCTCTGGCGACTTTCACTTCGCCTCACCTTTGAGAGAGTAAAACTTTTCAGTCTCTACTCTGTACTTAGCTGCTTTTGAAATAACATGCTGCTAGCTTAGCTACAAATCAACTTCAACATATTCCAAGATCATTTACCTTCTTTCTTGCTCCCCGGAGACTTCTTTCTCTCCGTGATTTATCGATCGATCCATCACCTGTATGAGAAACAATCACACGCGCGCACGTTACCAGTTGTATCATTGGCGCGCGCGTTTTTAAATAACCTGTGGACCGCGCTGAATACAATAATTACTACAAAACCGGGGACTAGCGCGAACGCAGGTCCCCACTACCAGAAATTATACGCTCGAGTTACCCACATTTGGGGTAATCGCAAGGGTCAACTCAATCGAAGTGCAATGAGAGGGCCTCACCTTGAGAGGACTGCCTCCCGCGTCAGGTAAGTTTTTTTGTATTTGAGGTGAATGGCCGGCCCCCAGTAGGGTGAGTGCAATGCCGCCAGACTTAAGGTCTAGTACCAAACACACATCAAAACGGGGCAGTGCACCAGCACAGAAACTGACTGGGGGAATTGAACCCCCGCCTTTACAGACACAGTACAGGACAAAACAGATACAAGACAAACATATACAGGACAAAAGAACGAGTTAAAAGACGCAGGCACTGCCTAAAAGCTAAAACTAGAACACACTCACTCAATAAACACTCCAAAGGAGGAAACTAAAAACTAAACTGAAACTAACTAACAGAATACTAAAAACGGACAAGAACAGTCCGGAGACACACTCACTCAAACAAGAAGGAGACAGTACCACCAATAAAGGCGACCAAGAGACCATAGACACACTCACTCAGAATAGCAGGAAACTCAGTGCAACCAACAAAGGCGACCAAGAAACCACAGACACATTCACTCAAGATAGAAGGAGACCCAGTACAGCCAACAAAGGCGACCAAGAAACCACAGACACACTCACTCAAACAGAGTCCTCCTAGCCACCGACGACTAAGAGAGACTAGACACACTCACTCAAGCAAAAGGAGTCCTCAAGCAAGGAAAACTCTTGGCCCCCGACGACCAAGGGCAACTAAAAACGACAATAAAAAGAGCCGTCCAACACTACACCAACGATCCCATTAGCACCCCATTGCCGTTGAAAGTAACGCCGACGACGGGGCGACTTGAAACGTTTAAAGAGAAGGGAAAGGTGACACTTAGCTCTCGCCTTTAAAACCTCCATCACAGGGACAGCCCCAGGACGAACATCACGAAAACGATGGTCATTTCGAGCTCTCCACAAAAAGTACCTTGCTAGATTCAGTAAATAGACAAAGACACGAGGGACCACACAAAGTTCAGAGGAAGAGAAACCAAAAAGG